AGAGCATGGGTGATGCTAACAGCATAACACAGGATAATGGAAACGTCCGTAACCAGCCAGAGGTGCTTCTTGAGGCTGATATTTGGACTTTTTTTTTCATTTTGATATGGCGCTTTGATGCTGAACGACATTAAGGGGCTTGCTTTATGAACCTCTAACACACACACGCACACTAATTCAGTGGTTTTAAATTCAGCCCTCCAGAAACACTTTATCCAGAATTGCTGTTTGTCTGAGTCTTTTGTGTAGCAGCAGACAGCACAGGTGAACAGCGCAGAGATGAATTCCCCAAAGACAGGTTTAATGTGCTCCCAAATAATGCCCTGAAGATAGTGATAGAGGTGCTGTCAAAAAACAAGATGAAGTGGAGTATAGAGGAAAAAGAAAAACAGTTGGTCCTAAAAAGTACACTGTTCTTTTGATTTATCTTATATTTTTGGCAAGAAGCAAACAAACAAACAAGGAGACTGAAAAGACATTTAGTTACTTGATAAAAGATATATAATCCATCCTAGCAAAATTGTGATTTGCTACTGGGTCAATGCAAATAAGTACGTACATAAGATATATAAAAAATCTTTTGAAAATCCAGTTTAAAACTGAATATAAAAAGTATACTTTAAATACACACAGATTGAAGACTTCATAATTTTTCAAAAACATTTTACATATATTTTGAGCATTTAAAAGTAATTTTTTACAAGGTGAACTAACATTGATTAATTTGTCAAATGATCAGATATTTTAAGAGATTTATTCATCTTCATGAAGGTCTGGTTATTTATTAATTTATTCATTTGATCAATCATTTTATATAACACTTTACATGAATGTAAGTGTGCTGCAGATCATTTCAATAGTTCAATAGTTTAATTTAATGTAAGTCCTTGCTAAAAAAAAATGTATATGTATAAAAACTGGTTACGGTTCAGTTGATGACAAACTCCACATGAATGAATATGATATTGAATTGTATTGTAAAATATAAATTGTTTTGTTTTACATATCAGAACATACTGGTCCTTGGCAGGTCTTAAAACGAATTAAATACAACCTCGGATGAACAACAACACATGACATATTACACTGTGTCGGTGTATTTAACAATGTATTTATTTCTCTGCTTCCACAGGACTTTAGTGGGTAAATGGTAAATGGACTGCAGTTTGGCCAGTAAAAACATATTTATCATAGAAGAAGTGTATTTAAGTCACTGTATGTACAAGTTGCTTTTGTAATGTTTTTTAATGTCATTTGGTCAGTTTTTTTTTTTTTTTCATAAAGAGAATACCTTTTAAAACAACATTTTATCTGTTTATATGTTAAAAGTTTTATCATGTGTTTTTATCTGCTTCATGTTTATTTTGCCAACTTTTAGGAGTACGACACCGATGACCGGTGACAGCTACAAAACTGCAATTTTGATTTCATGGGCTCTTCAAGATTCATTTGAAAAGATGCAGTACTGACTAGAAAGGAATGTGGTCGCCGTGCAAGGCAATTCACACTCGCAGGTGTTAAACATCTGACTCGAAAGACCAATAATGCTGGAGCAGAAACACTCAGTGCCTGAAGCAAGTGACGGTCTTGTCTGACATGAGTCAGTGTTTTACAGTGTGTGTAACAGTGCTTCGAGCCACAGTGCCAATGACCCGAGGAAAATGGCACACGCAAACACTCACTTAGAGACACACACCATCTTAGAAAGAGGCTTGATATATGAAGCAATAAATAATAGCGCAGATAATAGAATAAGGCCTCTAGCCAGTGTCGGCGCCCTGATGAATTACTTAAAGGGGCATTTGGAGGGGGCGCACATTTGTCACTCCAACCCAACTAAATGTAATGTTGCTAAAATGAGTGCTTGTGCTCAACCGTCACTGTCTGAAGGACAGGAAGATTCACCGCATGCATACACACATAGCCCTAAAAACACACGAACGTTAGAAGCACCAGGGACTGCACAGGAGAATGCACAATTGATTTTGATCTATAGGCTAAACTTTGATTATATGTTCATATACAGGCCTACAGATTTTGAGCTGTAAAAACCTGAGAGTTAGATCTCTTATACATATACACACTAAATATTCTTGAATGTTGAATGCTTAAAACCAAGCAATGACAATGGGTCAACTCAATGATGGTAATTATTATTATTTGATGGATCTATTAATCTATTAATGAAACGTTTTTTTTTATTTCTGAAGAAAAAAATGTTTTTGTATTTTTTTTTGGGATGGCAAAAAGCAAAAAATGTCGGGCTGATCCAACTATCCTAATATCATAATGAAGAAAAAGGCATCATTAAAAGAATGACGCTCCTCAAAATAAGACTGTAGTTAAGTAGTTTGGCTAAATCTTTCATTATTACTTTTAAGAAGTAAGATTTTGTTCAAATATTATTTTTTTTCCCACCAAATCAAAACCATGTGGCATGACCAACATGAATAAATGTGCAGAAAAAAAAAACAGAAAACAGTAAATTAAAATAAAGAGAAGACTTTTATGAATGTGTGTCAAGGTCAATACGTCTCTTAAAATATAAGAAAATTTGTTTAGGTTGTAAAATGTCATATATTTTGGGTCACAAACAATAAATTCTTACTATGTAAAAAATGTTTTGTTGAAAATAATGATTAAGATGTGTTTACTCATTTGTATTAATTGATATATATATTTTCTTAATTACATTTAAACTTTTCTTGAAAGTGGAATAAAAGTTTTTCAAAACCATGATTTGCAACCATGTGATTTTAACCAGATTTTTTTCTTTATTATGGATATATGTTATTGTCCCCAATACAAACCATCAGGCACAACTCTTTACTGATTGGCTAGAAGACGTCACATGGCTCATGTGGCTTGACACACATATGAGATTGGGATCACAAATATTACAAACATCAAAGGCTGTGAATGTCCACCTTAGGTAAATCCATTTAGACTCGGCTCCATCTTCAGCACTGCTAAATTTCCAGGAACAAATGTACGGATGGCAGTGTAAAATGATTTTATTACTTGGAAGCTCTGCTCCGGTGACCCCTAGATGGTGAGGCCTCATGGAAATGACTGTGATTTGACAAATGGCTCAACATTACGGTGTATAATTGTCCATTAGTGAGAGAGTTGGATGAGAGTGTGTTAGAGGATGTGGCCTGCCAAAGCTGCTCCTCAGAGAGACCAGGCTAAGGCTTTGCGGATCCGTGATTATCCTCCGCAGTTTCATAAAAGAATTACTGGACAGTCAGATTTAAAAAATCATGTTGATTCATATCGATCAAGTTTATTATCATTAAATAAATCTAACCAAAACTAAAATTGTTACTTGGAACAAAATTAACGTTAACTGAAACAGAAAAATATACAGTATATAAAAACCTTAAACATTTTATTTCAGCTAGAATTTTTTATTTATTATAAATAACATTCCTTTTGGACGTTTAGTTTGCATTTGACCGTTTCCGTTCCTGTTTCTGTCCTGTGTGCCATTTTTGTAGTCCTTTGTAGTTTTTCTAGTTGATTAGTTCTGTGATCAGCAGGTGTGTCTTGTTTGACTATCTAGTACTTAAACCCCATAAGACATTTGTGAATAAATCAGCGTTTCCATCCAATGTGTTCAAGAGAACAAAATCGTCACTTCCTAAGAAACCGGTGCAAAATATCTGTAATAAAAATGGAAGTTTCTGCAATCAAGAAAGCCACTGTGGCTCTTTTATACATATCAGTCCCTCCAGAAAAACGCGATTATGCGATCGCATGATTTAGTGCATAATCAGCCAAAGTCCGCATATTTATGCGGGGGTCGCATTTTTTCAAATACGCCGCACTTTCAAAATATGCGGGGCTTGCATGATTTCATAATCCACGCATTTCCGTTGCAAAAAAGTCACATATATCTTAGCAGAATGTTGAAAAATGTTGCGTTTGCTTCACACAAATGCAGCCGTTTCCCCCTGTTGCCATGGGAACGTTATGAAGTGACGTAATTACGCGACGTGAACATCATCGAAAAGCTGTAAAACAGGAGCACACTTTGTTTTTTTTATATTTTATTTATTAATTTTTACTGAAGCTGTAGCATATTCCTTTTGTAAAGCTACAGAACTTGTTTGACTCATCAATGTTTTGTAAGTTTGATGTGTTTATTAAGGTCTGAAATAAAACAAGATGAGAACTTAAATATTCCCAGCACTTTCTGTGATGTAGTATGCTTGCTTATCATAGGAAGTAATACGAATTGACTCTTTACATTAAGGTAGTAGCCTAGTGAGAACAGGAATCTTTTTTTTTTTTTTTTTTTTTTTTTTTTAACCAAACTGCAATTTTTGCAAGTTCCCGTAATTTCATCGCATAAAATTGCATAAATATCCCGCATATTTCATCGCATTTTTAAAGAAAACGGGCCGCATAATCAAGGATTTTTGCCCGCAACAATCACAAAAAACTCCGCGTTTTTCTGGAAGGACTGACATATGTTTGGAAACGCAATCAATTTAGACACTTCTGGGAGGTCATTGTACCAAATCTTTTAGATGATTTTTTGATGACTCAAAAAACAAACACGAAATTTGAGATGTTGTGCAATGAAATTGGTTAGTCCAGTTATCCAATCACATGATCTGTTGAGGCAAAGTCACATGACTTTTTAGTTGCGCATCATATTCCGTAAATGTGTTTCCATCATAGTTTATGCATATGTCGTCTTATCGGATAAAATAAACGATCTGCCTCAATTGGGCACATTTGTTTTTTTTTCTGCGCATTTTTAGGATTTATGCACATCTTGGCGTTCCATCCAGCATTTTTTTAGGGCAGAGTCTCAAAATTTGCATAAAGATAAGGTGGATGGAAACATAGCTAATGATTCCCTCGCAAATTAGACATGACAGAACTATATCAAGTCTAAAAAATATCCTAAATCCGTTTCCATGACATTTCCAAGTGTGAAAAACACAATGTTGAAATCCCCTGATGCTGTGTGTGCAGCTGTGCAGTACCTGTGATGGCGTGGTGAGAGAAGGCCTCCACGTAGGTCAGGTAGTTGTGGGGACAGTGTTTCTTCAGCCACTTACAGACGTCCTGCTGGGTCCATAGCACCACTGGTTTGCATAAGCTGGAGAGCGTTGGGCTGGTGTGGTACACAGTGAAGGCCTCTCCTGGCTGGATCTATGGAGTAGGGAAACAGCGTATTAGTGTGCATGCTAGGTGTCAGTCCATATGCTAACCAGGAAACACTCCCACCAGGCTTTAAAACTCGAAAAAAGTATCTTCAATACAAAAAAAAACGACAGATTGGATTAGTAGGCAGGAAGAATGTGGAAAAATGTTTTGCTTTCATAACTTCAGGGTGTACTTACAGGGTACGTTTTTCTTTGAAAGCGCTAATTAAAATAACTAGCGCTGCATGCTTCTGTGTAAACAACGCTCTTCTAATTACACGCACACTTTGTTCTGACTGCCGCAATGAGCAGAACGATTCATCAAAACACACTTTTTATGGCTCTCTGCTGCAGATTCTTGCACAGCGGGAGCTGTAATAAAAACTTTTACTAGGATACATTACGCCTGTGTGAGAACATGATGAAACGCAGTGGTAGCTTGTGTAAACTGTGAGAGTAAACACTCACATGGCCTCTCAATTTACTGTTTGTTATCCTGATTTGTTTAATCGTGACTACTACACAATAGTAAAAGTTTAAAACACATTGTGGGAAATGCCTTGGAACTTTTGCCAAGAAAACATCAATAACTCACAATGTCTTATTTCTAAGAGCTGTCGAAGTTAACAAGCAAATGATGGAAATATCTCTGTAAAGCCTGAAATGGGAACATTTTTACAATGTTAAGTTTTAATCTCAGTTGCCACTCTCTATCTCCCAATAATATATACAAGTAAGATGATATTTAAATGCTTAGTTTTTATGATCAACTGTGGAGGGAAAAACAACTTTGCAATGCTATGATTCTAATGCTAACGATGGTTAAAATATGTTAAAATAAACATTCCTCTAAAGCCTGTTGGATGATATTTGAGACTCACATTTTAACATGATTTTTCAACAAAAAAAATGATGTATGGATAATCAAATTAACCTAACTTGCTTCAGTCCAGTAAGTGTTCATCTTGAAATATTAATAACAATATAAAGGGTATTCTTGTTTACTTTATAAAAACCAGTAAAGATTTCACAGCTAAAACACACGGGAACCACGACCTGAAGGGAGACGTTTTTACAAAATGAACTATCAATCAGTAGATTTTGTGGAACAGGTTTTTCAGCTAAATTTGCTTATGAAATATGTAGGCTTTATAACCATTTACAGGAGAGGACTGCGACTGCCATTATTTGGTCACACTTTAGTTAAGGGTCCAATTCTCACTATTAACTATGAGTTTTGCCACTAAACTCCTAACTACTGCTTATTATTATTAGTTAGTAAAGTAGTTGTTAAGTGTAGTTATTGGGTGATTAAGGGATGTACAATATGGTCACGCAGAATAAGGCATTAATATGTGCTTTATAAGTACTAATAAACAGCCAATATCCTGCTGGTAATATGCATGCTAATAAAAAACTAGTTAACAGTGAGAATTGAACCCTAAACTAAAGTGTTACCCATTATTTAATAGTTGACAAACTGAACATATTAATCTGAAAGCACTGAATTATTAAGGTGTTTTCCACATTAACTGTTGCTCTGTGAAATTTTCGCGATCGACTTTTGCTTGAGGGTGAAAAAGTTTCCCATGCAAATTTCACAAGAATTCGCCACGCTGACTAACAGAAAGATGATTGGTTTGAAAGTGACTTCTGTGTGAGCTGTGCTTCATACTTCACTACATACTGACAACAGACAATGAACCGAAATTTCGCACTTGTAAACGCACCTGTACTATCATTCCTTCAAGAAGACGCAGTGTGTATTTCAAATAAAAGGACTAGGTCAGTCAGAATGATGGCAACTCTTGTAGCGAAGAAAGTATTTGTTGTCAAGAGCTGCAGGTCACACATTAATCAACACCTAATGACAAAAGCCCATTTTCACTCAGGAAACATACAGAAAGAGACAGGTATTGACTTTAGTAGCAGACAGAACAAAACAGGGGGAAAAGAGAGTGAAAAAAATGACTGATTCAGACATGAACATTTCATTTTCAGAGTAAGTGAAAGATGGCTCAACATACAGGCGCGCACCTGTGGAAAAGGCTGATTCAGTATGAGAAAAAAGAAAGTCAAACACAGAGACGAAGCAAATTAAAGAAAAGCATAGGCAAGAAAAGCAAGGATTTAAATGACAGAATATAATATACAAGAGAAGTCATCTAATCCTATATTATTTCTCTGTGTAAAAGGATTCATATTTCTGCTGGTAGGTACTTTTCCTTGAACAGGGTACAAAGGGATAGTTCACTCAAAAAAATTAAAAGTCTTGTTTGTTGTTTTCTTTTGTTCATACAGTGGAAGTCAATGGGCTCCAATGTTGTTTGATTCAGAACGATCTTCAAAATAGAAGAATGAACCGAAGAAAGAAAGGTTTGAAATGACACGAAGGTGAGTAAATGATGACATATGACTCATATATCGGTGAACTGTCCCTTTAAACAAACATCGAAATTAGAAAAAATAAAAAAATTATAATACAGTTATACAATAAATTGATTTAAATTGAATAAGTGGATTTTTCTGACCCCATTGGCAGATATTTTTTTCTTGTTTTAAGCTTAAACTCACTTTATTTAGTTTTTTAGTCCATCTCATATTATGTAATTTTGCATATAAAACAAATATATCTTGATTTAAGAATGTTTCGATATTTGTACTGGAAAACAAGGCAAAAATACGGAAAAGAAAATCACTTGATTTACACAGACACGTAAATACTTAACTTGAACTATATGTAGTTTATATAGCATATCTAATAGTTCTCACAGATTTTTGCCTTTAATGTTTACAAAAAAATAGTAACCAAAGTGTACCATATTAATGGAAAGTGCTGGGAAATGAGAATGAGGATGAGACAGAAAGCAGAGAGGATCTGAACCGCTTCACCATCAACACCTCCTCCTCCCTCTCGCTCCCTCTTTCCTAGCCATCCATCACCTCTATCTCTCCCAAGCCAGCCTCTGGGCATTAAACAGCCACCCTTGAACCCATGAGACCCGATTCTGTCCAGCCTGAAACATGCAGTCATTAATAATACACAGGGGATTGAACCTGTGAGGAGAGGGCCAGCCCAAACTGGGCGGCCATTTTGTGAGATGAGTCTGAATGCTTCTCACCGAAGCATGATTGGAAGAATAGTCATGTCCTCCTTAGCTATACGTATGTATACACTACACTACACTACACTGTTCCGAAGTTGAACTTTCTATGCATCAAAGAATACTGAAAAATATTGAGTATTTTCAACATTGATCAGAAATGTTTCTTGAGCAGCAAATCAGCATTAAAGACTGATTTCTGAAGGATCATGTGACACTGAAGACTGGAGTAATGATGCTGAAAATTCAGCTTTGATCACAGGAATAAATTACAGTTTAAAGTTATTTTAAACTGTAATAATATTTCACAATATTACTGTACTGTATTTTGATCAAATAAATGCAGTCTCAGTTGAGCATGAGAGATGTTTTTCAAAAAGTGTATATGCACATATAAATTAATTTATACAAATTATGAGCATACTATTATTGTTGTAAATATTGAGTTTAAAGTCCCCTTGTGGTGAAAATCAAGTTTTTAATGTTGTTTATAATTTTATGTTTTTAATATGCTTTAAGACAAACCATGTGCAAATTCATAAGTCACACCATTGCTGAGTATTTTTTCTTTAAAACTGCAGTGAACCAAAGACAGTCTCAAAAACACGGTTTGAAATCGCTGGGGTTTCTGACGTCACACACTACCTTGTAACCAATCACGCCTCGAGGGGGGCGGGCTTAGGCATATCATTAACTATGACCGCTCTGAAGCAGAGGAGTCTCAAGAGAAGACAGGTTATCCCCGTATATTTTTCTGTTGATATGGAAAATCGGCTACATTTAGCAATATAGCGGGTGAATTATGTATATGATGTATATTACGATGTTATGATGAACTATGTGCGTTTCTCCACTGACGTTCTGAATTGTTCATAGCGTTTCTAAGGATGCTGGTTGTTAGAAGGAAGATGCCTGACTCTGAGATGGAGAACGGGAACATGGTTTGTGTGACATTAGCAACACATCATTAGCTGTTTGATAACGTAGTCAAGACAAAGGCTAATCATATTAATTACTGTTATGTGTCCGACGTCGAAGAGAGCGATTCATAAAACGCATCACCATTCTGATACATCGACTTGTAGACGAGCCTGTGTGAGTGAGTGGAGGCAGGGCTTATTGGCATATTCATGCATCCGCGTATACTAAATGAAGCAAGGGTGTAGAGTTGCATTCAAACTATTTTAAGGCATGAGGAAAAACAATTTCACAGCAACAAAACGTTTAAATATGTAATTTTGGTGATCAAAGATGAGTTTTAAGGGATAAAATTATTGTCTACAGGGGGACTTTAAATAGTAAAACATACAGGCACCAAAATACAATACCATAACACCGGACCTTTATATGGACTAAATTCATGGTCATTTGTTGTCATTTTTGGAGCTTGACAGGTTTAGAATGATATAAGGGTGAACTATTTCTTTCAAGTAAATGATTGTATCAGGTTACCGTGGGACTGTTTATGAAGTCAATACATGAGCTCTACTGAGTGTATCCAGTTCTGCTGACTTATTTTTTCATGCCTTTTTACTTCGTATTTCCTCTAGGGCTCATGTTCTGAACCTCTACTATAAATTCTTAATAAGTGTGATTAATATGTATAGATTATTGAAGTAACATCATCCGAGTCTCATTTCAATCTTCCCTCAAAATGTCTCAGTTGGCCACAGAATTCCTCCTTTGTATGTTTCTCCATCCCCTTTCCGACCTCAAAAATCGTTTTACTTTGACTTTTTTGCCAACTTTTTCCAACTGTCCTCTAAGTCTCTTTCATTTATTCTAAATCTCTCTCTCCTCTTCCTTTACTGTCCATTTCTCTCGGTCTCGCTCCTGGTCCCTTTATTCTCCTGTTGGCATATGTTCTTCATGTCCTGGCAGTGAATCTCTGATTTTACCCACT